TTCCCAAGTGTGTACGAGGTGCAGTTCCTCATGTGTGAAGTCTCAGTAGGGGACTCCAGAGAGATGGATGTTTTGGAGGAAAATGAAGCAGGCACGGTCTAACTGGAGAGTGATGGGCACAGGTGTGAGGTAGGCGAGAGAGCAAGACTGGGGTACCTAGGGAAAGAGAGCCTGCAGGAGGGAGACAATGTCCCAGGAGAATGGCCACCCGGTTTGTATTTGGGGACCAGGGGCATGACCAGGATAAGGGGAGCTCAGATCAGGAGGAAAGGAGACCGCAGGCCCAGGCAGGATCTGCAGGGAGTCTGATAACTTTGCATGTTCCAAGAAGCAGGTGGAAATTGTTACAGTATGTATAGCAGAGGGTGAAATGATCTGATGCACTTTCTTTGTTTTGGGGGTAGACAGGGTCTCACTCTGGCCCAGGCTGGGTGCAGTGGTGCCACCACAGCTCACTACAGCCTCCAGCTCCTGGCCCCCAGCAATCCTCCCACCTCAGCCTCCCTATGTGCTGGGATGACACGTGTGAGCCACTGTGTGCGGCCTGATGTACATTATGAAGAAGTCATTTAGACTTGTAGTAGGAGTAGAGTTGTGTGGGAGGCAGCCTCAGACCGGTTTTCATCCGCTGCAATGAGATGCTGACAGCTCGAATCCAAGTGGTGGCACTGGAGGTTCTGGGGGGCTAGTTGGATTCTGGATGTGTTTTAAGGTAAAGCCAGAGAGATTTTCTGATTTATCAAATCAGGCTGTGATAGAACAGGAGAAAGGTAGAATGGCTCTAAGTGTTTCATTTGGAAACTGGAAGGCTGGAGGTGCACTGAGGGGGTGGAGAGCCTTCTGGAGGCTCTTCATTGGGTGGTAGTATGCAGTTTACATGGGTCAAGTTTGAGGAGCTCATAAGCATAAGAGATCATGAAGGGAGCAGGCGTGAACAGAAAGTGGTCCCACAAACGAGCCCTGAGGGGCTCTGACCTTTGAGAGGTGGGGAGATGAGGGAGCCCCAGCTGTCACATGTGAAGGGTGGCCAGGGAGAAAAGGAAGGTCCTGAAGCCAAGTCAAGGGACAAACCATTCGTCTCCAGTGATGTGGATGGAGCAAGATGAGGATAGATGGTCAGATCTGTTAAGGGCAGGGGCCATCAGCAGTCTTGGTTACAGGAATTTTGTGGGAGTGGTAGAAGCAGAACCTTGGTGGAAATTCATAGGATTTCGAGGAGAAGTTAAAGACGTCGACTGTACACCATTCTCTGGTGGGACCATGCAAATGGGGCAATAGCTGGAGGGTTTTCAAAGACAGAACACACACACACACACACACACACACACACACACACACACACACACAGAGAGAGAGAGAGAGAGAGCGCGAAAGAGAGAGAGAGAGAGAATGTGACCTGATCAAATTGCTATTGAAGATGAGTGATGGAGGAGGGGATGCAATGCCTGTAATGAGGCTGTGTCTTGAACCTGTTCTCCATCATTCTCACTAGGATTCAAGCCCACTGTGGACTCTCCTGTAACAGAATCCTCCCAGAAAATATGTATTTTTCTCCAGCCCTGTTCTATCTCTTCCACACCCAAACTGGTTGAAAGAGTTGACTACAAAGCCAGTCCCCAGTTTGATGTCTTCCGTGGACTCTGACCTTGTCCATCTTTTCTCTCTATCCCTCCACTGTACCTATTCCTGCCAAAGTCCCCAAGGGCATCCACGTCCCCAGCCCCAGCACACAGTTCTCAGTAACCGTGTAACACGCTAAGGCCTCCCGGAAGTGTCAATCAATTGCTGAGCCAAACTTGGGAGTCGCTGGTGACTCTCCTCTTCCTCTCTTCCTGAATAACCCATCCAGAAAAATCACATCAAGCACATTCTACTTGCAACATGTTTTACTTCCACTGATGAGTTTGCGTGTTCATCATCTGTCACTACGATTTCTCTTGGCATTTTTAAGTGGATTTCCCCAATCTCACTCTTGTTTCCTTACTCCCACCCTACTGCCATCTCTTCTCATAGCAGCCCAAACCGTCATTTTAAAACCTCACTGCCATCCAAAAATCACTGAATGTGGACCATCACAGCAACAGGACTGTGAAGAAAAACCACACGTTCACATCAATAGATGCAGACAAACCACTTGACAAAATCCAGCACCCATTCGTGATTTAAAACCCAAAAACCCTCAGTAAACTATGATTAGAGGATAGCTTCTTCAGTTTGATAAGGGACACCTACAAAACCCTTCAGCTAACATCATACTTAACAGCGAGAAATTAGAAGTTCTCCCAGTAAGATCAGGAAGATAAGGAAGATCAGGAAGACGGCAAGGCTCCCCTCTCACCACTGCTTCTCACTGTCACATGGAAGTCCTGGCCAATGCAATAAGACAAGAAAAGGAAATACAAGGTATACAGATTGGGAAGGGAGAAATAAAAGTCTTTGTCTGCTAATGACATGATTGTCTTATGAAGGAAATCTCTGTCCTGCCCAAAATCCTACATCATAATTCATTGTATAGAGGATATAAATCAAAGCCCTTACAATGTCCTGAAAAACCCCTGAGTTTTTCTTCAGTCACAATCATGCCGTCCTTCTTTTCTCCCTCAATTTCAGTTATTCTGACTAAGTTGAAGAAAATGTGGCCAGGCATGGTGGCTCGTGCCTGTTATCCTAGCACTTTGGGAGGTGGAGGCAGGAGGATCACTTGAGCCCGCGAGTTGGAGACCAGCCGGGGCAGCTTAACAAGACCCCATCTCTACCAAAAATATGAAAAATGAGCCAGGCGTGGTAGCACACACCTGTAGTCTCAGCCACTCAGAAGGCTGAAGTGGGAGAATCACCTGGGCCAGGGAAGTTGAGGCCAGTGAGCTGTGACAGCACCACTGTACTCGTCCGGACAACAGAAGAGAGACCCTGCCTCATAAAAAAAAAAAAAAAATGCAGCAAGTCCTTCTATCTCCCCAGGTCTTCAGGCCTGCTCTTATCTCCCTAAATCCTGTTCCCAGGGCCATGGCAGAGGCCCCCTCTGACTCCACCCTCACGGTGCATTCCCCTGCTGATTGGCCTCTGGACTCTGTTTGAAGCTTTGGGAGGTGCTCAGCTGGGGGAGTGGGGTGTGTCGGCGGGAGCAGCCCTCAGTCACTGGGCTCTCAAAGCCTCAAAGCTGTCCAGCATCCCGATGGTGAGGTGTACTCCAAGTTGCTCCCCTCAGAGCACCTCCAGTAGGATGGGGCCCAGTGCCCACAGGAGCAGCCAGGTGTCACCACGGCCTCTGGAATGTCCCCTCCTGCCTGGCCTCTCTCCCCCCACTTCCTGTCTCTAGTTTCCTGGGATCAATCTCCCAAATGAACCACCTGCACCCAAATCCACATCTCAAAACCTGTTTGTGGGAGAACCCAGGGGAAGATTTAATAACGACGTCCTAAGAAAGTTCTTTCCCGATGTCACAAACCGTATTAGTTGCCTTTTACACATTCACCAAGAACACCCCATATGTCTCCTTCAGAGAAGTAATTATAACTTGTAATTGTCTGTTCCTTGGGTAACTTCTGGGTGGACCCCTCTCCAGAATGAAGGCATCATGTGGTCATGACCGGGGCGTTCTGTGCTGTTCACACACTGAGAACACATGAGAGGCCATCGGTACATTTGTGTGATTTTGTTATTCCTGTTGCATGAAAGAATAAACAGATTTTTTTTTTTTTTTTAAGGTGAAGCGATATGGACGAAATGAGGGGAGGAAAGCAAACGGAAAGTAAACTGTGAAATGAAAATAAATTGGGCTGGAATCTCTTCCTGGTTGAGGTTTGGGCGTTGAGTCCACCGGTGTTTGACAGTGGAGACCAAACAAATGCTCGGGAGAAATGGACAGGGCCAGACTTCTCCCATCCACCTTTCTACCCCCTCCTAATTCAGCACTCTGCCTTGAAAATAACTGCAACTGTTGAATATTTGAGTGATCAATTACATGGGAAATTCTTAGAGCCTGTTTTCTGTTTAAAGATCTCGGAATTTCTGGAAAGGATCGGTTTGTCCCATTCAAAATATTTGGATGACCTGATTCCATTCTAACTCCCATCCATCTTGCTATACGGTTGGTTTTCGCATCTTCTATCTCATTTAAATGCTATCACCATGCCGTTGGAGATGCTGAAAAGTACATTTCTGCCTTTGCGTTAAACCGGGGCTGAGAGATTGGCCTGGGGTCGGTGCCCGCCCAAGATGGACCCTGACTCGCCCGCCCGTGCGCGTCTCGCTCCCGCCTTCTGCTCCTGGACGCACAAACCCAGGACTCTACGAGGGTCGATGAAAACGTGGCTAGGGTGGCCGATCTTCCCGGCTGTCAGGTGGTCAATCTGCTTCTCCGGGGTGGATTCTCCCTCTTCCTCCGCTGTGAGGTCCCCAGGCCGCTCGCAGCAAACCCAGACGGAAGGCGCTCCCTGTGCCCGCACCCGGTCAGCCACGAAAGGGGACGCTCCTGGGTCTGGGGCCGCCGCCAGCAAGTCCACCGAAGGGGAGCGCGCGGTGGAAATCGGCGGAGGTTCCGCCTCCCGCACCCGCGCGGCGGCCGCGCCTCGCAGTCACACCCGTCGCCAGCGCCCCGCGTCTCCCTCGCCCGCGTCCTCCCCGCCACACAAGCACCCTGGTCGCCTAGCCGACCCTCCCCCGAGCGCGAGTCCCTCGCTCCAGGACGCCCGCGCGTCCCCAATCGCGGCCTCGAAAGGCGGACCCTCCCCGGGGCGGCCGGAGTCACCACAGCCTCCCGCCCGTCCCCTCCTGCCCGGCTGCGAACTTTGGGGCGCGAGGAGTATGGCCCGCGCGCGCCGCGGTGGATACCGCGGGTTTCGCGACAGGAGCCCCGCGCCCGGGCTGTCCCCGGGTGACCCGCGCAACAGTTGGGGCAGGCGCTGCCGGGCTGTCCGCGCGCTCCCCGAGCCCGGCTCTTCCCCAGCGGGAGCCGCGCGCCGGCCGCCCCCCAGTGCGCCGGTGCCTCCCCGGGCTCCGAGTGCGCAGGCGCCGGCCGTGAGGACCGACCGTGCGCCGGGCTCGAGCGCGGTCTGAGAGCGCGGCGGCGGCGGCGACGGCGGCTGGCGGACGGACGGACGGACCGCGGACCGACGCACGGACCCCGACCCGCGAGCCCTAGGAGCCGGCGGCCTGAGGAGGGGCCGCGTCGCCATGTCGCCCCGCACCTGCTGAACCGGGAGCGCCCGAGGATGTCCGCGCTGAGGAAGGTGCGAGCCGCCGGGGCCGCGGGGCGCGGGGAGCCGGGCGTGGGGCGGCAGAACCGTCGAGGCGGGGAGGGGGCGGCGTGTTGGACCTGTGGGGACGCGGCGAGGGCGTCAGGGCGGGGGGCAGGGCGAGTGGGGGTCGTGTCCTCCGCCGGGACTGGAGCGCGGGGACCCCAGGGGCAGCCTGTTCTCGGGAGTCGGGCGTTGCGCTCCTCGCCGGGCTTCGCGCGACATTGGCCGTGCTTGTGGGCGCCGGGACCCCGGGCTCCCGGGCGCGGGAGCGGACGGGCCGCGGAGGTGTGAAATGCTCGGCTTCCGTGCCCCGAGAGGAGGGGGCACGGCCTGGGGGGCGCCGGTGGGCCAGGGACTACGCGCCCAGCTCCGGTGAGGCGTGGGGGCGGCGGGCAGCTAATGGCACCCCCTCCCCCAGCGCAGGTGGACAAGCCGACGGGACCAGGAATGAATGGAGAGTGCCTGGGAGCCCGGGCTGCGAGTGCGGGGGCTCGCGGGGGCGGGGGTGGGGGCGGCCGCGGCTGCTGGGCCGGTGGAGGGTGCGCGCGAGGGAGGGGGTGGCCGCCGCCCGGCTCTCCAAGTGCGAGCGAGGAGCACGGGGGCTTTTTTCGGGTGGTTGCTAAGCGAGGCGCTACCCAGCGCAGGGTTTTGTAACTAAGCCTCCCCCGGCAGCGGCTGTTGCTGTTCCCCGGCTCCTTTGCTAACGATGGCAAGAGAAATAATGAGGATGTAATTATTACCGCCCTGCGCTGGGGGCTGGGGTTGGCGGGGCTGGGGGGCGGCGGGCGCGGGCTCCTCCGCAGGTGGGGCTGGGCTGGGCTGTGCTGGGCGCTCTACTGGCGGCCTCCCTGGGTGCGCAGCATGCGCGGTGCCCGAGGCTCCGCGGCTGGACTGGGCACCGGGAGGGGTCTTGGGTAGACTGAGTTCGCAGAGGCGGCGCCGGCGGGGAAGGAGGCGGAGGTTCGCAGGTGCGGAGCGGGCGCGGGGGCGAGGGCGCGCGGCAGGACTGCGAAGCGCGTTGGAAACTCGCGGCCCCGGGGTCCAGCCCTCGCGCGCTTCGGAACCCGAGTCCTGCAGCCCCTACACGATACTGCCGCCGCCGGGGAATAGCGATCCCGGCCATGGCTGGGAATTCGAAATTTGTGACATATCGGCAGCGCCTGTTTGTATCGATTAACGATAAAGCGATCCGCGGCGAATTCGTCCGCGGTTCCTTGGTGGCGATGGACTCTGCCAGCCGGCCTGTGGGGGTCTGAAGCTGGGAATATCCTACAAAGCGCCGCCGCCGGGTCTCCCATCCTCCCGGACCCGGGGCTGGAGGTGGCTCCCCCGGGGGAAGGCGGGGACCTCCCGGCGGGGTCCGGGTCGAGGGTGCCAGGGACAGAGACTGGGTCCCAGCGCCTGGCGGGACTTGAGGAACCCGGCGATCTTCAAGGCCAGGAGGACTCCCGTTTACAGCCGGTGAATTAATTCTGTTGCAGTTAGGGTACCACCCGGCACCTTGCGTCACCCCAGGAGTCCAGGCAGCTCTCCAAGGACCCTCCCAGGTCCGGAGGCTGTGCTAAACCCCCGCCACAGAGCACTTTGGAAGGAACATTTTGGCCTGAGGTGAACGCATCTTACCCCGTGTTCATTTTACCCCCTTCATTTTCTCCGAGAAAGGTAGTAGATAACCGAGGCAAACATGGCGAAATGATGAAAAAATGGTAATTCTTGGCAGGTCAAGTTGTTACTCTGGGTTTAAAAAAATATCATTAATCAGGATTTTCCAGTAGCCAAATTGTCTTGTGCCGGCAGCTGGGTGACTCACAGATTTGGCTCCAATAGTAATTGTAGAGTGTGCGTACCATTTCCTTCTGGATGGTGTGACTTTTTCATTGCTTGGGAGAGAACACATTAGAATATTTTATCCCTTGCATCTGGCAGCATGGTGAGCAGGCTGCAGGGAATGCTTTGTCCAAGCACATCTGGACGGGGAGGTGTGGAGGGAACCGGGAACGCAGGGCAGGCCCTGTCCTGGGTTCTGTCTTGGGCCTTCTCCAGCGCTGCAGCTCATGGGTGTGGGATCCGCTCTCAGAGATGACCTGGGACCTGAGATCTTCTCTCAGTGATGGCCTGGGACGTGGTCCTGCCTCTGTGGCCTTTCCTGCCCCTTCGCTGCCACTCCTTGGTGGTAGTGAACCTAGGTAGGTAGAACACTATTCTCTGTTCCTGGGTAAGAAGCCGAGAGACACGGAAAGGCTTCCTCTGTTGGTTTATCGCGTCAGATCTGTGTATTATAATTTCAGGTTAAAGGGTAAGGTTAGTAAGCAAAATGAGTACCATATCAAGTAATCCAAAGTGATGAAGTAATTAAAATTAAAGTTTTCTCACCACAAAGATGTTTTATCAGGTAAGCATTCTAAGTCAACTTTTCAGAGGATTCAATGTTTGTTATCTTTCAAAAGAACTCTGCACTTAAGATTGTCCAAAGTGGTACAGCTTGAGACAGAAATAAACATGTATTTATTTACCAACTTTTTGTATGCCTTTTGTTACTTGTGATTTATATGGGTTAGTACGATTTTTGTTTTTACAGAATTCAGATCACCTTGCATTATTTCTCCCCCAGTGACATCTATGCTCTTCTGTGACAATCTATTTCTTCTCCAGTATTTGTCTACTTCATTTTTGAAATTGATAGAAATTCCAAATTAAATATTAAAAGCAAAAATAGCCTTCATGGAATTTAAATAACATTGGATTCTGTGTACCTGCAACCCAACTGATTCTGAAACTAAAGTGCTCTTATATTTTTTTTAAGGGTGAGAGGATTTTTTGTTTGTTTTGAACACATTATCTTCCACAATGTTGAAACTGAAGCAAGTGCTGTAATTTTTTATTATACAACTGTATTTGAGGAAAAGCTTCATGACTCCTCAGTTGTCCAAGGAGTTGAATGCTGTATACTTTGATTATAGATTTTGAAGTGAAGTTAATTAAATATTCTATTTATTGACCCTCAGGACAGATGCTCCATGGTCATTCATTGGGTACAATAAAAATAACCATGATTCATCATTTTGGCCAGATGGGAGTCATATTTAGAGCATTGCCAGCATGTTGGTTATAAAAGAATTATAGGCTGCCATACAGGAAGTTAGTGGGCACACATTCCAAGCAGTAAAAATTTACTCTTAATCAACTGTAGTTTTACCAAGTATTTTTCATCGTATGAGGCTCCCTAGTGCCACCAACAACTTAAACATGTTTTGTTGTTTCCTAGGTACTTGTGGGTACAAAAACTGAGCATGGTGATTTCATGTGTGTTCATTCACTTTAATTTCCAGGGAAGGTAAGCATGTGCGCTTTGGCACTGACCAGGCATGGAGTTGTGCAAACTCCAGCCTAAATCCTGCATTTGCTGGTAGCCACCTTTCCCTTCCAGGGCTTAACAGCAGTGACAAATTAATCTCCTCAGCAAAGGCAGTAGGAGTTCATCTGTAAACCTCTGTTTTTCTTTTTTCATATCATTATTCTGTGCAGTGACTTCGTCTGACTAGGAAAATCCTCTCCCAATCCTCAGGTCATGGGCTTCGCCGTGCAGTCCCTTGCCTATAGCTCCATGAGAGGTGCCTGGCTGTTGTGGCATCCCTGTCCCATGGGTGTCTGCTGCAGGTGCTCTAAGGCACACACCTCTCATGACTTGCTGTCGTTGTCTTCATGCGGGATGTCCAGTTGCCTTAGTTCTGGAAGTGTCCTGTCTGTGTTCATTGGTGGACCTTCAGGAGCTGAGCTTACCAGACCCATTACTGCAGACTTCTGGTGTATTTGCAATTCACTGTGCACTTGCCCTTCTGGGCAGCAGCTAGCTCCCCTTGGGAACACCTGCCCTTCATGGGGTTGGCTTGGTGCACCCCACTTCCCATCAGCAGGGGCTCCTAACTGGATGGAGCCCCACCTCCCTCTCAAGAATAATTAGATCAGTGAAGAGGGGAAACTTTCAAGAAGAGGAAAGCTTTGGGGAAAACGGCTGGAAAGGTGTAAGGCCTGGAGCTGCTGCGTTAGTGCTCAGCCTTGTGGGGATGGCCTATCTGGAAATGACACCTTCATCCTCTGTCTGTGGAGGAGAAGAAGGGCGACTGTTACACAGAGAGTTTCGTCCCCAAGACACTGTTGGAAGCTTTGAACTAAGTTACGCCTGAACCATTGTGATTTTCAGTTATGTAAACCAGGGTTCTTTGAATTGAGTTTTCTGTACCTGACAACCAAATGGGATATATGGGTTTTTAGTTTCTCCTAACATTTCCACGTTAAACCCCTTGTTGCAGGGAAACACTTGTTCATCTTCAGGTACTGTGTGTTTTTTTATCTGGTAGGTTTCTTTTGTGTATCAGCAGGAAAAAAGGGAAAAATTTAAATGAACCATTTTAAACAATGAATAAACATTTGGAACCGGCCCATCTGTAAAATTGTGTTTAAAATTTTAAAGGTAACCTTGTGAATCTGACCGATCATTGTCTTTAAAATGATGTTTCATGCTCTGCACGAAAGAAGAAAATGGAAATGATCCCCAGGGGCCCACAGAGTGTATCTTTTAAGCTAGGCTGTGTTGAGAAACATCCTCTTGTGCGTAACGAATGTTTGTGCTGTGTCTGCTGCACTGTATCACAAGTGGCTTTTGAGAGACAGGGTCTCCCTCTGTCACCCATTCTGGAGTGCAGTGGCGTGATCATAGCTAACTGCAGCCCTGTCCTCCTGGGCACAAGTGATCCTCCCGCCTTGGCCTCTCTGGTACTTGGGACTGCAAGTGTACACCACTGCACCCAGCTAATTTTTACCTTTTTTTTGGTAGAGATGGAAGTCTTGAAGTGTTGCCCAAGGCTGGTCCTGGACTCCTGGCCTTAAACAATCCTGCTGCCCTGGCCTCCCCAAGTGCCAGGATTACAGGAGTGAGCCACTGTTCCCAGCTGCATTTAGCCCTTTATTTGACTTCACCATATTTTAGTTTT